TGATTAACTCTAACAAAAAAAACTACCACTTTAAAATGCTTATACTAACATCTGCTAAATTATAGCCAAAAGAAATGCATCAAACATCTTTTAAATCATTTACTGATTTCCCATCATCAGTGGACAGTAGGGATGCCCTTACCTCATCTCGGAACTTCATACCCACACTCCTGTAATGTCAGCTTCTCTCCAAGGACCTCCATTTATCTTTATGATGAACAGAGGTTGCTAACCTAATAGAGATGAATGGAGGTCCTTGGGTACCTTACGTGGTAGCAGAGGTTTGTACATTGTTGGTTCAAAAATTGATCTTCAAACATGTCAAAGGGTAGCCTCACTCTACATTTACAGAGAAGGACAAAACTTCTTTATTAGTATTAAAAATACATTTTCTACACTGCTGAAACCCTTCCAAAGCCCTGATTCGCACTGTAATTGGCTGGCACGTACAGCTCCGTGCTTCGTGCAGGGCCGTACCAAGCATCTCCCGGGAAGGACAGGTTCTGCATGTAATTAGTACGCAGCCCCCATCCTTATCTATGGGACTACGCTGCTGTACGCCTCCCCCCTGCGCTCACCTCAAGTGCAGGTCCGTAGGGGTGCGTGTTTTCCGGCTCGGACGCAGACAGGATCCATCCTGTCAGCGTACGAGTACACTCACTCGCACCCACACGGACGTGCAGGGCGGGTAAGAGTAGGGGGGGCATACGGCCACGTAGTCCCATAGAGAAGGACAGGGGCTGCGTTCTAATCACACGCAGCACCTGTCCTTCCCGGGAGCTGCTTGGTACGGCCCTGCACGCAGCATGGAGCTGTAAGTGCCAGCCAATTACAGTGTGAATGAGGGAAAAGAGTTAATAAGCATAAGATCTTGATTTTATAATTATTTATATAGGTTGGTAAGGACACAGTTAAAACATCCCTATGGCATACTGTAACACTACTGCAGGCATACATTAGTATAAAACATCTGCTAGTTTTTAATGTGAGATATAAGGTATGACAGGGTAACAATGCAGAGAAATTGATAATGTGATTAGATTATCATAAAAGCTGCAATAATGCCGACCATAATGGCACTCATTTTAGGATTCTGGTCAAAATAGAACTTTAGTCATAACTAAATGACTACATAAATTACCACTTAGAATCTTGTTACTTTCATAAATAAGCTATTTCAGCTTTAGAAACCTGAACTTTACAGTCTAAAAGTCTACATGTTCAGGTCTACATTATCTTGCACTTGCTAGGACCAGTACTTCTGAAAAACAGTCTGATGTTGATAGTCACATTTCTGGCATTCAGCCAGTCGAAACTTGAATAGACTTTTTTTGTGCTTTTTATTTGAGATAAAACCACCTAAATCATCAGGAGGGGAAAACAGAGTTTAGGTTCTGGGATTAGTAAAGAGCAAGCCAGATCAAGAAAAGGGGGTATTGACATCAATGCTCAAATCTGAAAAGATGTATGTGGAAAGCTGAGCTGACTTGTGGTTAGGTTTGTGGGGAGGGTCTTTTTGGCAAATAATCTTTTTCTACCGGCCAATTTTGGAATTTAGAAATGTACTACATTTAATCAGCTATACAATTTAAAAATAACATAACTTCCAAAAACCTGAGGTGAATTCAGATTGGTGGTGGGACTGCCAAGACTGTATGCCTAGAAAAGGCTTGTCAGCCCTATGCCACTGCACACTATAATCATTCTGATAAAAGAGAGACAAAATGTAAATATTAATTTTGCTATAATTATAAAATAAAAATCATTAAAAACTCAAAGCTGCGTATTTCTTATCAAAATGATCAAGTTTCATATGGAAGCCTTTATTGCATTTGGTCTCTCCTTAGACATATTATTTAGTCAGAATCAATACCTTTATCTTCTGGACATAAAACCTGCGGCCCCTATAATTTCCAATTTTTGTACTCAAGCATTATGATATGCTCAGTTAGACACTGTAATAAAATCAGGATAAAAAGAGTATCGTGTTGCGGTTTTATAGCCTCAATTTTCAGAGGTGTTAAATTCACTCAACTGTTGTTCTCAAACAATATTTAAATGTACAAAACAGCCTGGAAAATGATAGACTTAAATTGAAGGTCACTTTATCCTTTCTTGCCCACTTCTAACAGATCCGTAGGTTTGGGAAGAGCCTCATTTTTTTATGAAGGAAGAATTTTCTTTTCATCTAACATTCTCGGGACACATTTCAGTAGATAATCTTATTGTCTGACCTTTAAGAAAATAAGTCAAATCTGTAAAGTTACTGCTGATTTGCTTTAGTTTCGTCCTTGAATTCACTTTCTTTGCTGTATTATCATTTTTCAATTTATGAAACAGGATCTATAAAAATAGTAATTCTGGTTGATATGGGTATACCATATAGAAAATATTATAACATTTTTGTCATTACAACAATTACAGAGCTACTTAATATTATTTGATTCAGACAGCTCACCTAGGTCATTGAAGCATCATAACGTCTTGAAAGTCTGGTACCAAAGTAAGGTTAGAGCAAATTGAATAATTGGCCATCACTCTAGCTGAATCCTAAAGAAAAAAAGTACTTTATTAGATCTCTGTGAAAATGTACAAATTTGCGTATCTGAATAACTTAAATACGGTTAGTTTAAAATATATTTTTTTGACCAAACTGCACAAAGTTTGCCTTATTTCTGGATTTTTATTTTGGACTCCTATTGAAGTGAGCCTTTCACTGGCTTCCTTTTCAGGGGCTGAAAAGTGTAATTACACAGGCAAATCCTAACTGAGCAATTGCTGAGGAGTTTCTTAAAATGTTATTAGGAGCCACAATGATTTAAATAAATAATCTATTGGTTGAGAAAAGCAGACTAGTATTTCTCCATCTAAACAGCCCAGCTTGTTATGTACACTATCTTACCTTTTGCCTCCTTAATGGTAATACAACAAAAAAAAATGACAATGCAGCAGTTCACACATTTAATACAGTAGTATGTTTTCACAGAGTCTGTCAGTGTCTAGAGGAATTTTACAATGATATGCAAAATTTACTGTGGGAGTGGAGGCCAAATAATATAATTTTATACCATGTTTAAGAAGAGAGTGGAGTCATGGGCATATGTGTTGCTGCTAGGTGCGAGGTTCAGTTGCCAATTTTTTTTTCTTTTAGTAAATGCAGTGTAAGGATCATGTCCCTGGCACACCTTGGCCTAGGTTATGTTCAGATTGGTCTAGTGTACCTATCAAATGCCTCCTTTTTCGGAGATTACTGGATTAGTCTAAAATAATATGCATCATAAGGAAAGGGAACAATTATAAAAGATAATAATGCTGGCTGTTGCCTCTTGGTTGTCTTCTGGGTTGCTGCCAGATGCAGTTGAGCTAGTGCACACATGGATAGATTGCATGTTTTTATATTACTGGTTCTTACTCGGTTATTATATGCCTGCTAGTCTCTTTGACTCATTGAGAGACCATCACAGTTCCATCATTATTTAATATCAAGATATATAAATGGATAAAATGTTTAACATGATTATTAGAGCATAATGATGGATACCTTAGGGGAGGTGTATTTACTTTTATTCTTTGGACAATATAACAAATTAACAGCATCAGATTCTCTGTTTTTTATGATTTTGATGAAAAACAAATTAAATAGATAACTTTTTAATGAATTTGATTTCCTGTCCATTGAACTTGTACCTACAAAATCCCACTAATACAATTTTACTTTTTTTGTGGTTGTTTGCTAATTGGGGATGATGGTACCTTCCCTGTCAATTGCCTTTTTGATAAACCTCTGTTATTTTGTTTTTGGTCGTAATCCAGCTCTGGGCAGTGTACAAATGAAAAGTTAAAGTTGTTTCTGCATTGTTTCAATCTGCTGTGATTTTTTTTTCTCTTAAAATTAATTTGCTTGAAAGTGATGGTAATTGGAGCAGGAAGTTATGTCTGTATGATAATACAAACTTATGACTTCCACAGTATTGCAATAAAAGTATAATGAATACTATTTAGAAGTATTTTTTCCTGCTGTCTCATGACTGCAATAGCTCTAAATCTCTCTGCTGTGGAGGCTTTAGCAAACATTCCCTCCCCAAACACTCTACTGTGCTCCCTTCCCTTACTTCACAACTACTGATATGCAAGGGTGAAATGGGGATGGCTCCATAGATTGTGATGTATTTAAAGAAATGTTTTCTGCATTTGCCATTGCTGCAGGGGTCAGATCTTAGGCAGAGAGATCAGTACAAATGTATGTTTGTGAAAGCATTGTTTCCTAAAGCCTCTCCATGATACCAACACTGTTAAGTTCTTTTAACTCTGCCTGCAATAACTGACAACTGTTCCTGTCTGAAGCTACACTGTCAACAATCATAGTATTGGCACCCATTAGAGTGATCCTATGCAGTGAATGATGCATACTTCTGCAGCTGCTGAAAGCAAAGTGTGACAGGTGAGGTCACCCAAGCACAACAGAGGATCACTCTCCTCATAATATACTGTGTGCCATTACACCAACTTTTGACAGCATGATTCCTGATGGAAGCTCCTGTCAGTCATTCCAGACAGGGCAAACACTAGACTTGTGTGTCTGTGATGTCACAGGCTAACAATGAGACTGCAGGCACGCCAAGAGTCAGCATAGTATCCTGCTGTTCCTATTAGAGAGAAAAGTGCACACAAACTGACCAAGCTAGCATGGGTTTGCAACCATGGTTAGTGTGGTCAGGACAACACAAAAAGTCTGGTAATGTAGAAAACACTGAAAGTATAATCAGGTATTTATTTATTTATGATTGATGGCAAGCAATAAAAAGGCTGCAACATATTAACTGCACCTGATAAATTGATTAATAACAAGTTATATTTAAGCATTACTTACACTTCAGTGCACACCCATATTTCCACTGTAACCATTAGAAAATTAGAATTGTATGCCTTAAAATATTTTCTGTGAAATCCAGCAAACTTACAGCTCTGGGCTAATACTAACTCCAAATATTATTTTTTAGGAACATGGCATTCCAACAAACATGGGTTATGCGGTGGCTCCACATCACTCCGGTGTCTACCCAGTACATGTGCAGCTCTATGAAGCCTGGAAGAGGGTATGGGGCATTAAAGTTACAAGCACTGAGGAATACCCTCATCTGAAACCTGCCCGATATAGACAGGGCTTTGTGCACAATGGGATAATGGTAATTATACTCATAAGCTGCATTGCAAAATTGTATATCTTTTATACCTAAACATATCGCTTCATTATTTTAATTTTTTTAATTACGTTTTTACTTGAGACAATGATGGTTAAAAGGTAGAGCACTAATGTTTTTATATACATACACAGAAATACACACACAGACGATCATTAGAAAATAACTTGCCTGATATGTGAAAACCTGAACTGGTGTATAGTCTCATGCTTTCCATGAACGTACAGCAGACTGACTATTTCCAAATCAACATAGTAAAATTAATATTACAGGATATACAGCATTTTTATAGTGCCAGCAGTTTGTGCAGGACAAGAGGGTAAGGAGGGCTCCTCATGAGAGCTTGCAATATAACATCTATACACATATTTTTTATGTTTACATTATTATTATTATATTGTATTGCCATATGTGTAAATAATTAGTGATATACTTTCTTTCCATATAGATGGCTGTTGTTTCCAAAGCTGTCACTTGGTCTAGTGTGGCCTAAAGGGCATATTTATAAAAATTTACCTCAACTCAAATATGACAGCTGAAGAATGTCCAGCATTCATAAACAATTTTTTAAGATTGTAATGCTAGATAATGTGCTCGCTAGAGCTCTCCATGTCTTTTTAACTCACTTTCAGCTCTTGAAGTGTTAATTACATTGTTCAGTAAAAAAATGTAATTAAAGTGTTGTTATCCCCATTCCTGATGCTTCCAGGCTGAAATGTCAGACATGTAGGCTAATAATGCCATGGCAAGGTGACAACAAGCATTCTCCTGCCTAGCTGATACCAGCTTTCGTGCCTTTTACCCTAAACACCTACAGAGCGTTTAGAAATGGAACACCAAAAATAAGAAAACCCCTCCTAAATCACTGTGCAGAATAGGATAGTTTTTGAAAAGACGCCAAATGATTGATATTGATTGTCCAACAATAGTAAAAGATATTTTTTCTTCTTTTACAGGTAGACCTGTTATATATATATATATATATATATGTATCAGTAGTAAATATCTGTTTTAAATTCACATCTAAATTTGACAGAGACACTGCATAAATTATACAATAAGTTGGGTGGAAAAGAGTGCCTTCATTTTCTAGAAGGAATGTTCAAAAAAATAATAGTGACCACGATACAAATGTTTTATATGTGTTAACAGTGCAGTATATTTTCTTTTATTCTGGTTTATTTTATTGAAGTAGACAAGTGTGCATTTGATGATTGTGTGTCTGCATTTAGTGTAAGGATATGTTTTCATTGGGACCTAATAGTAGTGGCACTGAATTCTTTAATTTGTGTAGTTTTTCAGGGAAAGATCAATGCACAAAACACTGCCATTGCTTTTCTTGTAACAACCACAATGTAGTAAGTGTGGAGAAAAGAGTTTTACACAAACCATCATAATTTCCTGTACAACAACAGTGTATTCATATGTTTGTTTCTTAAATTGATATTACTTTTACTATTAGTACTCAAATATACATTGTAAATTGAGGGTCTTCATTGAACTAAGACACTGAAAGAATAATATTTTTTCACTAAAAACTAATATGTGAAGTAGGACTTAACACTTCCATTTGTATGAAGAAAATATGTCTAAAATAGCAAAGACCTGTTATATATATATATATATATATATGTATCAGTAGTAAATATCTGTTTTAAATTCACATCTAAATTTGACAGAGACACTGCATAAATTATACAATAAGTTGGGTGGAAAAGAGTGCCTTCATTTTCTAGAAGGAATGTTCAAAAAAATAATAGTGACCACGATACAAATGTTTTATATGTGTTAACAGTGCAGTATATTTTCTTTTATTCTGGTTTATTTTATTGAAGTAGACAAGTGTGCATTTGATGATTGTGTGTCTGCATTTAGTGTAAGGATATGTTTTCATTGGGACCTAATAGTAGTGGCACTGAATTCTTTAATTTGTGTAGTTTTTCAGGGAAAGATCAATGCACAAAACACTGCCATTGCTTTTCTTGTAACAACCACAATGTAGTAAGTGTGGAGAAAAGAGTTTTACACAAACCATCATAATTTCCTGTACAACAACAGTGTATTCATATGTTTGTTTCTTAAATTGATATTACTTTTACTATTAGTACTCAAATATACATTGTAAATTGAGGGTCTTCATTGAACTAAGACACTGAAAGAATAATATTTTTTCACTAAAAACTAATATGTGAAGTAGGACTTAACACTTCCATTTGTATGAAGAAAATATGTCTAAAATAGCAATGCACAAAAATCAAGAAAAAGGTTAAAAAAAACATTTTTAATGCCATTTTGGTAAAGTGTATTTTTTTCCTGTATTAAACTACAAGTATATTTCAACTTATGCAGTCAAATTTGAGAAAATCCCACTATATGTTTGCTTTGTGTGTGTATTCATACAGTATGTTCTAAATATATATATATTTTTTTCAAATATATTTTTATTGAGAATAAAGTATTTCAGGGTTACAAAACATATTGTGAAAAACACATATAGTTCCAATGTACAGGGTAACAACATATTTCTTTAGCGGACCTCAGTAAATATATATTTTTTAAATTATCTTTTAGATGTCTCTGTTGAGCAAGCCATTGTATAGTCTGCAAGCTGCTCTCTACAATTTTAAAGTGACAGGAGCCCATAGAAGGAATATGGACATTTTGAGCTTCCTCTCATTAACATACAATGCTTCTGGCTCATTAAGCCTCTGCTAGAACAGACAGTGCTTAAATCTAGTGTTATCCCAATTTGGCTCCAAATTGGAAATACACTTTTAGCCACACTCAAAACTAACAAGTAACAATATAACATAGCATTATACTATGGACTGTCACAGCACCATCCAGTGTTCACCAATATATATA